TTAAGAAAAAAAAAATTGTAATGTTTATTTTGTGCAGAATATACAAAGATCTATTTTCTTGCAAAAGGTTCATTTGGGACACAAAAATCTGAATCAGTGGGTGATAATGCTATTAATAATTGCTCACATCTCAGAATATGTACTACTTTATATATGTACCAAGAGATCAGACAGATAATAGACATTTTTATGTGGCACCAATTGTGGAATAATTGCTCTCCATGGATGGATATTGAGTCTATTTTGGTATATTTTGGGTGCACTCACCCTGTTTTTTTATTCAAAAACTATTGGTAGGTTTTTGAATAAAAGGCAAGATCTTGCTGCTTGCCTTTAAGTTCTGAAGCATCTTACAGCTTCACTTCTATATTCTTCTCTGCTAATTAGAACCTTCTGCAAGAAAGTGCAAACTATTTTTGGACTGGTAGAGGGTGGGGTTATCTTTATTATAACGAACTCCAAATTTTGGGTGCTTGTCTTATGCCCCCCATAACATCCAGGCTTGAAGATGTTTTGATTTAAGATTTTAAGGACTGAGTATATTTTAAAACAGATTTTAATAATGATCCATTCTGTTTTTAGATAATTATCTTAACTTAAATGTTGAATTTTCGCTATATATTTATTACTAAGCATGAAATGTAAATATTAACTAATTTTTAATGGTGGCCAATAGTAAGCATGGAAAACTGCTGGATTTGGACTGAGCAAACATCCATCAGTTCAAACATGAAACTTACTAGGAAAATGTAGGCAGACACATTTCTTAGCCTGAGGGTCACTTCAGGCTTGTAATGCAGAAAATATGGTGGGTGTGCTCATGCTGGCATAAGCATCTTGGATGAAAAGTAGACATTCATTTAAAACCAAATCAGGCTTAAGGGAATTCCAGTTCTAATCATAACATTTGCCAGATTAACCCCAACCAAGGTCAGTAGACATCTTGCAATTTCTTATTTTTAACATTGCATTTTCTCTTCATTGCATCTCCCAATTTGGGCAGATAATGCCTTATGCTTCTTTTCCTCTTGCTGAAGTGTTCTTTTGCAATACACACAAGCATCTTCTCAGATATCATTCAATTCATTAACATATCTAAGTCACCACGGGCGGTGAGTTCTAGTTCCACCTTAGGCCTGAAGCCAACTGCGTGCCTCTGGGCCAGTCATGCCCTCTCGCTCAGCCCTGGGAAGAGGGAGGAGGCCAGGGCAACCCATTTCTGGACATCTTGCCAAGAAGGCCAGGAGTCAATGCTGGCTTGAAGGCACAAACAAACAACGCCAACCCCCACCACTTATGCCTTACAAGATTTAAATTATACTTACGATTTTTTGGGCAAAGATTTGATGGGTTGTACTGAGAGGCAGAATTTTACATTTCACTGAATCCCTGGTACTAATTTATTGTTAATGGCCAAGATTTGGAATATAACAGACCGTAAGTGTCATTCTATCTAACACTTTCTTATCCCAAACATCTTTTAGGTGAATATGTTAAAAATCAAACAAAAGAAAAAATAAAGCATGAAACAAAGGGAAAAATGAGCTATGAACTTTTTATGATAGAAGTGGACAAAAACAAGTATTTCAAATTTTATCTTCCCCCAACACCAAAACAATCAAAGAAGTGATGGATAGCCAAGTAAAAACTCAGCACTTTGGGGGGTGGGGGGTGGGAGGGACACAGAATTGCATGGAAGGAATAACATTTTTTTCATAATCTTCATCATTCTCCTCTGAGGTTTATGGAAACTTGCACTGATAAAATCTCAGTGTAGGTTGTTTCTAATTTGCTATGTAATTCACATTTGTTTCCCCCACCCACCCCCAGCCCTCAGGATTAAGCGAGCCACAATGGGTGGAGAGAGAGATCTTAGGATGATAGTTCTATTCTACACTGTTCAACAGAGAAAAATTAATATATTTTTAAAGGAAGACTCAAGAAAAGACTTATTGTCACTTTTTGGCTGTTTAATATCTTCATATTAGTTTGTGATTAGTTCAGAATCTTTCCTCTGCATTTTGATTTTTACTATTCATGGGTGAGAAAACATGCAACAGCACTGCCTCTACCTAAGGGCTCAGGATCATAAATATGTTACTTTTAAAGAATGTTACAGCTCATAACGGATGCCTGTTGTCATAAAAATATTTGTGTTACTCCCTTCTATTCTTTTTCCTTTTTGTTACCGAGCTTTAAAGACATACTGGCTAATAGAAAGGAGACATGATTAAGGAAACAATTCCTGTTCTTTCTGAACCATACCACTGGTTTGTGGTTTTCTTTTTCCCACCTGAAAAAGTAAATATAGTCTTTTTTCTGTTTAGATGAATTACAAAACTTTAGGAACAAATTATTTTTTAGAAGGAAATGCAAAAGAAGCTGCTAGTAGAAGAATGGAACAAATAAATTGACAAGTTATAGGGTGAAGGAAAACAGAGGGTAGTATTAGTAATAGCAACAAAACTTTATCAGGATTTCTCAGCAAAGGTATTGAAATAGGCAGCCAATATGAACAAGAAAGAATCAGGATATTCCATCAGGCAACAGTTTCCGTGTATCTCTTGGATGTGTGCATGTTTTAATCCCCAGTCCCACTGTACAGCTGGAGGAAGCAAACAACCAGGAGGCATGTCATGCCCAAATAAAGTCAAAGGGAAAAAAATCCATAGCCTTGAACTACACACTGGAGGTTTTGGGAGAAAAGCAAAGAAAGAACAATGGAGGGAAATACTATAGCAGCAAAAGCAGAAGAATCAGGATATATGGACAGATGCAAAAGATACCAAAATCTTCATCTTTTCCTTTTGCATAGAATTTTTTTTTCTGTTCAATGTTTTTTTTTCTGTTTTTCATTCCCTGCATTATTAATTTTTATATTTATCTTAAGAAGATGAAGTGGCAGATCACTTTTGGGGGATGTTGGACATTTTCGGGCAAAAGGCCTTAACAGGCTAGGTTGTCCCCACAGATTCTGAATTTGTGCTGTGCTTTATTGAACACTGGGTTTTGTTGTCAGTGAGCACAATGAGATTTGAACAGTACAGACAATGCATTCCTTATTTACATGATGAGGTGAGCCTGTTTCAACCACTAGCATGATAAAGATGTAGAATGGGGTTATATACAAGAGGAATTGCCTTCACATTACACACATCATCTTCCTACAAAGCAGCAATTTCCCCCCTCCCCCCACAAATAATAAAATATTAAATAATTGATAGATTTTTTTGCGCTTCCTGCATAGTCCAGTCCAATGGAATCTATATGAATAATGATGGTTTTCTGTATAATATCATCACATAAATCCCCATTTCAGTTCCTAATTGTAACTATAATTCTGCTTTACAATGCAATCTTTTAACTGGAATTCAAAACAACCAGGGGCCAACACAAGAAATTCTTTGGCAAATGTAATGCACACATTCGCAGGTGGCTCTTGAGAAGAGGTGGTAGATAGACCAAGGCACAACCTGGTCCTTTGCATAGGATGTTCCAGACACAACTGCTTACTTTTCTAATGATCATGCCAGGCCAAATCAAAGGTCGTATAATGTTATCTGTGTCAATGGCCTGAAATTAAGCCAATGGTTATGAATCAGTGAACAATCATCTTTTTTTCTACCAGTGTAACTTAAAACAATGTGAATAACAGGTCAGATTATTCCAGTTACTCTTTCCCTAATGATTTCCTGGATCAGAGGTTTTTAAAAAGTCAGATTATCCCTTCATTCTGGTATAATCAAGTTGAGGGAATGCATGTATGATCTTCAGAGATACGTTGGAACTGGCTTTTGGAATGGCCCAAATAGCTATTCCCAAATGTGTGGGAATCCACATTAATGCTATTCTATGGACAATTTTAAATATTACACTAACCAGAGTATTAACTACGTGTGTTAATGATAATTGATTTTTGTTGCCCTAAATCTTAACATGAGTTTGGGATAAGATGGTTAAAAGTGGCACTGAAATGATTTTTGACTGCACATTTATTAGTAGGCTGTAGAAGACATAAAAGAACAAGTGCATTTCCAAATGTTTTAATTTGGGGCTATTAATAAAAAAAACTTTTATTAATTAAAAAATGGCCCAGCCTAAAATGTAGATGATTTTTGTGATCCAATAATATTAAAACACTTGTTCTTATAAGCTTCCATAATTTCAAGTGTATTATGGACAACAACAGAAAGAGGTTCTGTGGCTCATGGCAATGGTCATGTTTGATAATCCTATGGAAAGGATCTATAAAGCAAAATACAACAATCTCTTATTTCCACCCAATATTGGCAATTTGTTGATTTGCAAAACATCCTGCTTCAGTCTTCCTTGAAAGTGCCTCTTGATGGAGTCAAAATGTACCAAAAGGCAGAAGGGATATTTAGCTTCTATATGAACACTTGCTCCTCTCTTATTTTAAGAAATCCTAATGGGAAGAGCTTGCTTCTCTTCAGAGGATTTAACACTAGATGTACACAAGATAAATATGAGCATCTTGTGCTCCCTACGATCCTTTATGTAAATTGTATCTCCCTTATCCTTCCCAAATTGAATCCAGAGTTTGCTTTCCATTGACAGAAGAGTTTGTTTCATCCATGGAAGATCCTTATCTGATGGGCCATGTCTACTTGCAGAAAAGAGAAGAACTAACAACTAATTCTTCCCTCTCAGGAGGGGTGGAGAATCCTTTTGAATATTGTGGGAGATAGTGCTTGAGTGCATGGAAGAAAGAAATTGACAAAGATTGTCTCTCCTCCCTTCCCTATGTAGGCTAGGGCATCGTACACTGAATTGTATTCAGGGACTACACTAACCTGCTGAAGGAAATGCTAGATTCTAATAAGTCTGTAAACCACCATGAGCATGCAGATGTGTTGATATTGCATAATGTTCCATCCACATTTTATATGATTTGAGAAATTCTTACATTCTGATATGAAAAATTGCATAAATGAGGATATTTTAATAATGGAATACTTTATATTGTTATGGCAAGAAGAGATAAGATAGTTATGGAACTTAAGTGGATGCCATCATCAAGAGATGGGGAATAAAACACAAATTCATTCCTCCAAGATAGCAACCTTTTGTAGAATATTAAGTTAAGCTAAAATCTCAAGACTCCAAATGCAGCTCAGCGAACAAGGGAACTGCTGTGGTAACTCATAAAAAACCTGATTAAAAGATCCCCTTCATTTGCATGCCAGTTGTTAAGGGAGAATTACATGAGAATTAGAACACATAAGGAGAGGCTTTGGAGATGAATTGTTTAACTGTAAGAGCCATCCCATGCCATCACTTGTCACTTTTGTGGGATGGGAATGCATTTTCTTCACGATCCTCACTCTGGTAAAAGGGGAGTAGGTTTTTCTTCTCCCTCCTCTGAGGACAATACCCTGCTAGATGTATTCAAGTTTTCACAAATTTGAGTTTTAAAATTTCTTTTATTATGTATCTTATAACTTTTTATTTCAATAAAAGGGAAGGAAGCCAAGAAGCAGAGCAGAAGGAAGCCCATGGTATTAGCATTTGAGATGCAATGGGCCAGAGCGAAGCCCCCAACAGATTTGGGCAACCGCAAGGAAACAGAAAACATATGTTCAACTAGGTGGCAGCGGGGCGGGGGAGGGGCCTTCAAAATACTTCACACAGAATAGCAGGCTTGAGCAATTGGCTAGGGAGGGGAGAGCTATGGCATGGCAGAAAAACCAGCTCCTTGATCAAGATAGGTGGTAGGATACATGGCCTTCTGTTAGAGAACTATTTTATAAATAAATAAATAGTTCTCTAACAGAAGTTCTCCTTAACTGCTTGGATAATGGTAGAGGTTGATCTTGAATCTGATTGTATTCCATTAGATGGCAAGCTTAAATGTGATTTTGAAATTTTAGATTTGGCATGAATTGGCATTGGCACGATCGCTTATCTGCCCATTCTCAAATCAAGTTGTGACCAAGTTGTAAACCTGCTGCTGGTGTGTGCCCTTTCTTTTGTGATTGTAAATAAGAAGAGAAGGCATAACATTCTGGAAGTGAAATCTGTTTTTTCTGCATTCCAACATTTCTTTTGCAGTACAGCACTTCTCACGCCTTTATTCCATCCTGATGTTTCTATATGAATGGCAGAAACTAAAAGATAGAGAACCAAAAAACAATCCCAATTCTATACAGAATTGTTTAGGTTCATTGTCAGTTGCCCAACTGTTATATTCACCAGCAAAAAGCAATATATTTTGGCTGGCAACTAATCAAATATATGTTGTGCATAGGATGGATGCTTTAATTTTTTCCTTCCTAACTGTTGCCAAATTTGTATATTGTGCAGATAGCTGCCCACAAAATGCACTTGCTCTCCTCTCTGCCATATGTGAATATTCATTCCTGTGTGCATAATAGGAAAAGAATGAAACCCAGGAAAATGTGTCTATCACTGAAGTTGGGGTGGTATTTCAGCTTATTCTGTCATGACTTTTTTAGAAAACTGGGGTTTTGTTTATTTTCCCCCTCCATTTATAGACTTTCAGGACAAAGCATTAAAAACAGTTATATTTATATATCCACTTGTATAGTTCTTCATTTTGATGGTTGGTTGACATCACTCCATCCTCCTATCTGACTTGACTCTGTATATGTTTTATGAGTGTGATTGCTTGTTCACCTTCAGCTTGTAAGATTATGACAAACAGGATGGAAATGGTCAATCTTCAGGTGACATTGAGAAGAAAGCAAGGCCTAATTACTTCAACCAACCTATAGAGGAATGGGAGGAAATGTACCACACAAGGAAACTTTTGTGAAACACAGTGGATGATGCAGAGTCTTTCCCCCTTCATTAGCTGAGCCACATGGTTCCCTCAGGCTTCTGGAAATTTGACTGTTGATCATTCTGAGTTGTTTTTCATAGAAGATCATCTTAGGGGGGAACAATGAATTATAAGCAGCATTCACCTCTGCTACTGCCTGCCCACGCCACTCTCCACAAGTTATATTCTTCTTACAGTTAGAGAAGCCTCGTGTGGAAGGAACTGAAGAATTCACCAAGGAGGAGTCTGAAGTACTGCAGTGACAGCAGAACCACTGGCCACAAACTTGGTTTTGCCATCACCCAATGGAGTAGCTTGGCTAGACTGCAAGGGACATGACATTTTCAATCTTGTGTTGACAGTAAATTCTGCAGTCTGAAAGAATAGTGAGGGGTAGAAGGGGGAAGGGAGGGATGTTGTCTTCTTCCAGGTGGTGCAGAATGTCCATCAGACAGGTACAATATGGAGGCCTAGGCTGTCACCCTGCAGTTTCATGTGGTTTCCATGGTAACTAGTGGCGGTCATAGGCAGCGGCAGCAGTGGGAGGTGCGGAGCCCCGGGATGTGGCACTATAATAATAAGGGGAACCTGAAAGTTAACACAGGAGAAGAATGGACTGATTGAAAGGACATACAGTAAAATAAAATAAGAAAAAAAATAAGAAAAAAAGAAAAAGAAAGAAAAAGAAAGAAAGCATATTAAAAGGAACCAGAAATAGAAATCTGGAAATGGGGATTCCTTAATGGTCTAGATGTAGAATAGGAAAACAACATACACAGTATATATGTAGTATATCATGCATGGGAAGCTAAATTAGTTGGATTATCTAGTGCTTATCATACACAAAGAAGCTTGTTGTAGAGCTTTCCATTCTAGATTCCATGTGAGTTCTATTTGGTTGAACCATCTAGATAACTTGCATCATATTAGAATTGTCTCTTATCCTGTGTCCCTCTTAGTCCCTTCACTAAGATTACAAAGGTGTGTTGCTTTAACATACTGTTCCATGTGAGTCTGTGATATACAAGAGCTTTGGCTTGGATCCAGTAGTTCCTCTGGAGAAGCATACCTGATCAGAGCGCTACTCATCAAGACATTCCACCCAGCAGAAGGGGGAAACAAGAACCAGGCAGGCTCTGAGTTAGATTCATGTGTGGTCCTGCTAACTACTGGCAACTGTACAATACATATAATTTGTTCCTTCCAGCATGGCTGTTCTTTTAATAGTTGGGATTTTCTTTTTACTGTGTCAGCCCTCTATAAGCCTCCCAGAGTCTTTAATAAGTGGGTGGCCTTAAAAAGTGATTAAATAAAAATCAATTTAAAAATAAAACAATTTTTATTGATTCTTCTCACTCCCAGTGAAATCTCCAATAACATTCTGGATAGTACTCGATCCACATGGAGAAATTTAGAAACTTGCAAGGGTAGGAGGGAATCTAACAATATTGCCCCTTTTCTAATTCCATTAGCAGAAATGCCCAGCTTAGTCAGAAGCATGCAGAAAATGTAAGCAGTTCTATTGTTTGGACTTCTGAAATACTTTCCATTCTGGGGAGGTACATGAAATACCAAAGTACTTTTTTAAGATAAAAAATCTGCCAGATCTGTGCAAACCAAATCTCAGTGAATCGTATCAGATATTTGATAACCAAAATCAGGGTTAGAACAGATCTAAAAATGGAGCTTAAAAACAGGCAATAAAATTGTTGATTGGGCTAAAGACATCTCTGAATAAACTGTATAAAGGTCAAGATGAGACAGATTTATTCAAAGAACCTTGGTAGCTGATCTTAAGGACTGGATTTTATTTTATGAAGCTTTAATTTTTTAAATTAAAAAATAAGGCACACAAAATATGAGATTACACATATGTAATAGCTGCTAAATGCAATTGCAGACTATGACACATAATATATGTTATTAGTGGGTGTGCACACTCCCAATAATTTTAAAGAAATCTATGCTTTGTGGTTTATACTTTTGGAGTGTCCACATAATGGACCTACATTAGCAATTACTACAGAAATGTAATTAACAAAAATATTTGTATATTGTATATTATAAGAAATATGTAATTCTTAATTCATTACATTAAAGAATTAAGTTGGAAGGGGTCATTTAAACCATCAAGTCCAACCTCCTGTTCATTGCAAAAGTCCTGTGAGGGAGCTCATTAACATTAATGTTTTAAAGATGGGTGAACTGGGAAACGAAGTAGTTGCTAATATATCCCAGAAGGGAAGCCTCATTAGATTCTTGCAGCAAAAACAAGGATGAGTTTTGTAGCATCTTAAAGACTAAAAGGAGAAAGATGGGGGGAATGGTGAAAGAGTAGTTGAGATGGATAGAGACCATAAACAAAACAGTAGTTAGGTGTGACATTTTTGCACTGATGAGCTAGTTAACACATGCAGTGTAATAAGAAATCTTGGTCTCTGTTTAATCTGGGAGAAATAAAGTTAAATCTCATTGCTTTGAAATGAAATCTGTCTTTAGGATGGCCCCTATGAGGTCAGAAATAGTAAATCATGTGTAGATGCTTTTTTTGTATGTACGTAAACTAAATCTCTCAAATGTTGCAGCTTTTCCTTTTACAGAAGGTTCTCTAGCTTCCTAGTCATTTTGCTCTGTGGGTTTTTTTTCAGCTTTTCAGTAACATTTTTTTTTAAAGATGGATAAACCTGAAATGTATACTGTATTGCAAATGTACAGTGTAGCTTCATAGCTTTATATAAAGGCATTACAATGTTAGCCGTTTTATTCCATATCGACTAAGATTTAATCCAGTTAGGATTATTTTTCCTCAGTATTCAGAACTTTATAGGGGTATTATCCAACTTGCTGTGAAACTCAAATTCAGAGTAAATCAGGAGAACTCAGAATAGACTCTTGCCTGAAGTAGGGAGGACAACTCCAGCATGCCCTGCTTTAATTCAAAATGAGATGAAAGAGCAGCCACATTCTCACCCCCACCCCAAAGTGTGGGGGGAATGTGAATGTAAAACCCCTTGGCCACTTGTTTATATAAAATGTCTTGATGAAAAGGGGAGTATTGGATTCAGTGACAGGACTGGCCCAAAGTCAGCTAATTTTCAGCCTTTTAGTTTGGTGGTAAAATCACAGAGTTAGGCCTCTGAGGTCCTGGTTAGGTTAGGCAGAGGCTGAGTGGAGAAAAATAGAATGGGTTGTATGGAACTTGGTCTCCATCAAACTGAGCACATAAAGAGTTATTGGGGAACTTTGAGACACCCATAGAAGTGGTGTGAGCCAGTGGATCTTATCAAAAGAGCAGAACAAAAATACAGGAGAAGTTGTCTACAGTGGGTCATGCTGAGCTAAAGCAAGGAGAGATCATCTAAAAGGACAGTCAGAAGATCATCAAGATAGAGCTTTGGGAATGGAATGGAACTTCTCCCTCCCTCTTTAGCAAATAGCCAAACTTTCTCACCTCTGTCTTTAGACTTGGAACAGGCCCTTTGTGATCATGTGGTAAAAGTGGTAAATTTCTATAATCTCAGACTAGGACCCATTTTCAGAAATTCTGGATACTTGGTTGCTAGGGGAGTGTTCACTGCAGTGGATGCTCTGTCCACTTTCTCAATTAAGGAATAAAGAACCCACCCATCTTCACCAAGGGGAATATTAAAAAAAAAGAGAGAGAGAGAGAGAAAACCTGAAGGTTCAGAACACCTTAGAGTGAGCTTGATTAATTAAGGCCAGTCACAGGTCTTATGAATGAGAAAGAGCACAAAGACTAGATCCTGAGGACATCCATTCTTAACATCCATTCTATGTTAAGCTCTCCCAAAATAAACTTTCTGCTAGATGGTAGTGACACTTGGCTTCTACTTGAATGAGTGCTTCTAGGGGTGCAGAATGCAAAGACATCAGCTAAAAATGGCATAGTAGTAAATGGCATCCATTATAGGAACTAAAATCAACCTTTATTTTGATTTAGTGAAGGTGGGGAACACATTCTAGGTTGCCTGAGTGTTCTGTTTACTAACAGAAAAAGATACAACTACAGGACTATAGGATGGTAAGCATAATCAGTCAGACTGAGGGAAACAATTCTGTCTGGCATGCGTACTTCAGCCATTTTGGTGGGTCTAATTAATGCTGTTTAGGGCTATGAAGCTCTACAGATTTGAAGGGGAAAAGGTGCTTCAGAGCATGCATGGCACACACACAGCATCTGAAAGGATCTCCTTAAATCAAATACCGTACATCTTGTTTGCAGGGCAGCTACTTTAAGGAGTTATCAACAGGTACAATGTAAACATTCCTGCATCCTCTAAGTCTCCATTTTCCTTTCAAACAAAGTGTTGCACAGACCTAGTGCACTTAGTTATGGGTTGTTGTTTTGTAGAAGGAATTATTTAGAAAATGGCAGTATGTATTGGAGGCTTGATGGTATAAATCATATCTTTGGTATAGTGGTTAAGGCACCAGGTTAGAATTCTTCATTCCTGGTTGAGGAGCAGCAAGTTGTTTTAAGCAAGTTGGAAATTAATCCAATTAGGATATTTTCTAGTCAATGTTAAAAGGAAGTAAAACATTACATTTTGAATTGTTAGATTATAGTGAATGTGTAGGTTTCAAAGTTAATGCATCAGTGTATAGAATATTAAATAGTTTTTAAATACCTTGTTTAACTTTGTAATACGCAGTAATGGAATGTGCTATATTAAACCATGGATAGAACTTGTTCTTACATGATTGCTAGTATTATAATTAAAATATATGTTTTATTTTTTATTTCAGTTTCCCTTGATAAAAAACCATATTTAAATTTTCTTAGCATGATAGTCATTTAATCTTTTGAACCTGGGACCTTGTCTGGTACCTTAAAGGTTATCATATTTATTATGGTCCAGTCTTTAGTGCATCACAGTCCACTTCATCAGATCATCAGATGCATGGAGGATAATTCTGTGATATGCATGGACACACACACACAGCAGGAGCAGTATAGGGAGAAGCAATGGAAAGGGGCCATGAGGGACGGGAACAGGAGAGACAGAACTGTAATCACCTGACTTTTTGCTTTCAATTCTTAGCATTCCAACAATAGCTACATGTGTATCATGAATATGTGTCTCACAGGGTTATGTAACTGATGAAGTGGGTGATGACTCACAAAAGTTATTGCAGCAATACATGTGTTAGTTTTTAAGATGCCACAGTAGTTTAAAAATGCATCAGGAGCAATTCATTGATGCAGCTATCTTACCTGTTCTGTGTCCTGTCACTAGGCTTATAATAGCTATGCTCTTTTTCTTTTCTATCTGATAAGATTCTGAATCATAGTTTGGATGTAGAGGGATTAGATTTGGACAAATAAAGTGCATTTCCATCCAGAAAAAAAATGATGTTTTTTATTCAACAGATAAGCCAACATGGGATTAGAAACACAAATTGCTTTGGATGAAGTTGCATTTCTTATGAAGAAGTTTTAGTTCACGTGCAAACTGTATACTTGGCCAATATTGGCCATATTATACACTGTGATGTAGTACATTGCATAACAGCAATATATTCTAACAGCTGCATTCAAACTTTAGGCTGTTGGAAAATGTAGCTGGCCAGACTCTTGCATAACACATTGTTTAGAAACTATATATTGGTAATCTTGAACCAATTATACACGGTATCAATTTTTCAAGGTATTTGTTTTGGTTTATAAAACTCTCAATGGCTTGGGATCAGAATGTTTCCCATATGGGATTGTCATCACTTGTCTCCATAAGTAAAAGTCCCATTGTATATTCCACCATCAAGAGAAGCTACCTGGTGGTCACAAGAGTAGACATTTTCTATATAGCATCTTGACGATAAAATTCCCTCTCATAGACAGTCAGGTTGACTCCGTTTCTACAATTTTAGAATGCAGATTTTTTTTATTACTTTGTGAAATTTTTGAGGGCCTCTGATTCCAATATTGTTTTAAAGAATGCTTTGTTTTTGCTTTCATTTTGTTATGATTTGATTTGTAATATTTTAAAAAACTGTAGGTCACTATGGAGGCTTTGACAGATTTAGAATATTTTGAATAAAAAATGTAATTAAAGCAACACAATCCCAACAATAGTCCTGGACTGCCCCAAGAAAGGAAAGCAGGCAACCTGAATTTATAAATTTATAATTGGATTTATAAGAAAACATGAGCTATCTTGGGAGAGAGTAACATGGGGCTCAGACTCCAAACCCTTTGGGATCAGGTGCATCACATGGTACTTTTTCAAAAGCCCAGGTGGGAGGGCAGGTTGTGAAGTCACTCAGGGGATCCCTTTAGTCCCCAGTAAGATAGAAACAAATAGGAAAAAGAAAGCAAAGAGACAAATAGGAGGGCAACAGGAAGGGATGGAAAGGGATACAGCAGACCTTAGGAGATACTCACTTAGTAATGCAGGATTGCTGAACCTCCAGGCCTCATTGTAGGTTGTGTACTGAGGATGGCTGTAAGGATTGCCTGAGAATTCACTCCCTGGGAAGAACAAAGGAGGGTAAGCGTCATTCACAAGATTCACAAGAGGGAAGGAGAATAAAGTTACATCAGTGCCTGACAAAAGGAAAGTAATTATACGGGCTAAGATCTACTGGGCATCTTGTAGTGCAATTCTACAAGTCCCAAGAGACACTGCAGCAAAGAGGAAAGTCTTAAGGGTAGATTGGCAAAGGAGACAAAATGAAGAACTGGGAGAAAGTTCAGTCTAATACATTAATGTAATAAAGGGTTTTAAGGTGCAACTTACTCTGGAGTTTGTGTTAAGAATCCTCTAAGAAAGATCACGACTTGTCTAGTGACAAATTGCAGCCAGCAGAGAGGGCAGTTGTAAAAGGTTCCTCACCTTGGGGTAGTTGAAACTAAGCAGAACCCCCAATAAGAAAGCAACAGGCTCTTTCCCAATAGAGGTCAGGTGGAAGGTACAAGGCCCGTTTATGTAAAAGGGGGCTTAAATGCTTCCTTTATTTTTCTATATTGTCACTCAATTTGTTTCTACATTTATTCTGAAGTGCAGGTTAAGTAAAGAACTTCTCACTCACTCTTCCTCTCTCTCCAGACCAGTCAAGGGAAGGCAGAAGCACCATATGTGCACAATGTTTATTGACAAGGAGTTAAAGGAAACGAGCTGCAGGATAATGAGCTTTTGAGCTCAATTGCGACCAAGAGGAACCAGTTATCTCCTTTCCTGATCACTAATGAAACATGTAATTTCCTCATCAATGCTAGATTCTGTTTAACTACTCTCTTTGGAGAAGGCCAGGGCTGTGACCTGCTCATGGCAGCCCTGGAGCTTTTCTGCTGAAGCTCAAAATGCTCCAGAAAAAATGCCAGAGAGGAAGAAATCAGGAAAGGCCAGCTACTTGTAGGGTAACACAGAATGCAAAAGGCGCCCTGGACATAGCAGGCTTGGTCACTTACTCATCAGTCTCATTAGCAATAATGCAGAAACAGGTTTTATATGGGCATTCCAACATTAGAGGGACTGCTCTGCCAGGTTTTAGTGTTCTTTGAGTGACGGAGTACTGGGCACGATGTATTTTTTTAATGACAGTATATGTAGAGCTTAAGTGATAATAAACAATAAATATAGAGCTTAAGTGATAATAAACAATAAATATTATTTCTTTTCATGCAACATACCTTCCTCAAATCCCTGGAAAGAGGGTCTGAACCTTCAGAGTGCAAATTCTCAGCATTTTATTTGCTCTCTCTTTTCCAAATTATAAATTTCTATTTATTCAGATTCATCCTTGTTGCTTCTAGCTCTCATGGACATTTCATTCAAATACACAGAGAGCTGCCAGCTATCCATCAATCACTGTGAACTATCAAGCAGCCATTTCTCCATTAATGAACTTCTGGTGTCCCCTAAGTTACCCAACTATAGTTGTGCTGCTATGGCCTCCATGATGACTGGGTGATGTCAGAAGCCAGCAGTGTCCATGTGTGTGTCAAAAAAGGTGAGATGGTAGATGCAGCATTGCAGTGTAAGCCTTGTCTCTTTTGTATGGGTGTTGATATTGCACTCATGTACAGAAAGGATGGGACTTCCATTGCAATGCTGCATCCGCCAATGTGCCTTTTTTATCACATACACCCCCTCCCATGGATGCCACGATTGGAAGCTGCTCTAGGTGGGGAGATTCCTGGTTTAGAACTCAGCTATTTATTCTGAGTATGTTGTAGTTTTGTTCATGGAAATAATCCTAGAAATGAAAAATGTATTGCTGGAGCAATTCCTTCAAGTATTGCAATGATCTACCAGCTATAGTTCAATATCAAATTGATTAAATGAAAGGAAAAACAAGGTTTACTGATTATGCTTAAGAAAACATGCAGGTTTTCATAACCCTTAGACAAGAACTGTGACCCAACAGAGAGTTGGATAAAAAGCACCTCCATAAATATCTTGTTGCCATCTTAGATCATAATCCAGTCCTCTGAGAGAAAGCTGCTCAGCAGCACTACACTGTGTGTCTATTACTTGGGGCATTGCTCTGATATCTGATGATGTATTTTAATATCATATACATAAAAATAGAAATAGGGCTACTAAGAAAACCCAAAGCAAACAAATATATAGCAAACTAACTATAAAAATGACTAAGATTGACTAAAATAGAAAAAAAAAGACTCAAAAAGGGTATCCAGAGATTTATTTGCTGGATCAGACAACAAGCAAATAATGAAGTCAGGCAGAGCTGTTTTGGATGGCTGTTCCAAATCTTGAGTAACACCATTAAGAAGGCCCTGTTTTTTAAATTCTCCATGTTATACATTTAATGGCAGAGGGCTTGAAGGACGGCTTCTGTAGCAGCTGGCAATTTACAACAAGGGATCTCTGTGTGTGTACTGGTGGGGGAAGAAATGACATTTCTGAGATACTTCAGATTCAGGGAATTTAGGGTTTTGTTTATTCAGACTCAGTCATTGACATGCCCTCTCGCCTCCCCGCCCCCCCATTATCTGTGCTACTCTTGGACCGTATACTATCTGCAGCTGGAATCTCTGATTACCCCATCCAGTGAAATGTGGAAAAGACTGGTAGCAAAAATCCTTGCAGCACGTTATACTGTATATTAGGCCCAAGGTAGAATGTGTAAGGATGTAAAGATGGCCCATGGTGCTGAAAACCATGAAAGGTGGATCCACCAGAAAGAAATAATATTGCAACTCAGCCATCCACTTAGCAGCTCTCCTAGAAAGGGGTGTAAATGACTCCTCACACTTGACATTCCATGCTACTGCCATTGGGTATAAATGAACATATCAAGTCCCAATTTTTCCTGCTTCAGTTGCATGAGCAAATGAGAATTTTCTAATTGTTTAAAATAATGTGAATGAAGCAGGAAGAAGCTGAGACATGTGATTGCATGTGTTCAATGTTGCTGGGGGAGCACAGGGCAGTAGTGGGAGGTCATCTCACTCCATTGATGGATTTATACCTCCATGTATTGCTTGGCTGCAAACAAAACTGATTGATTTCCTTAATCACAGTGGAAATCAGAGCTGAAAGATACCAAATAAATAGCATCAAGCAAAAAACCCCTGGAGCTAATCAAACCTACTGAAGCGCCCTTCCAAGTAAGGCATTTAAAAAAAAAAATTCACTTGTCTAAAGAAAACTGAAATGGGAAGCCAAGAAAATCTTACCAGGCACCATTCCTGCAAGAGTTGAGGTTGGGTAGCTGCCTTGTCCAGTTGGTGGAACATGTGGTGGGTAGCCAGGCAAGGTTGTGCTGGCCATGTCACGACCTAAGAAGAAAAAAGGAGGGAGAACTGATTTCATTGTGATAGCTGGAGATGATGATAAGCATTAGGTAGGGGAGCCTCTAACCTAAAACTACTCCTTCTTACCCTTAGTCCTCCATCTATGATATATTTTGGTTCCTCCGGATATTTTTAACTTTATCACCTTTTATTCAATTTGCAAAGACAGACAAAAATAAAAGTATCAAGTTCAATAGATTACAAAAGCTATATGACAATATAATTTGGTACATATTATCTTGTTTGGTGGCAATGCCCAATTATTCAGTGTTTGGGTCAAAGCTTTTTTTTTTTTTTTGAAAAGTTGGAAAAATCTCCTGACAGTCTTTTGTGATGAATGGTGAGCTTTGTTTACTATCCATGTTTCCTAAATACAGATCCAACATAAGAAATTGTTTCTGTTTTTATTGATAATTTATAGGTTAATTATTTCAAAACACTGGAAAACCAAAATATATTTTTCATTGGATTATTACTACTTAAAAAGAGGTATTTTAATTCTCTTTAATTACCCTGTATATGATGGGGCAGTTAAAGAATATTCAGGTATAACTAATCCCATTAAGAGTATTACAGAACTCTCTTACTTTTAATGCCACATTATATGATTTTCACTATGACTCCAAACAAATCTGAAGCTCAGTCAAGAAAGATGATTTCAGCGATGTTCCCACTTCGTAGGTTAAGCTGAAGGAATAAGTCGCTTGAAGTCCATGGAAATCCCACTACTAGAACCCTAGAGTTGGAAAGGGCAACTGTGGCCATGAAGTCCAACCCCTGTTCAGTGCAGGAATCCAAATTAGAGCTTCCCCACTCAACCTTTGCCTTTCTCTACCCAGCACAGAGGTAACTGGCTCAACTGTCAAATTGCCTTAACTTTTAAGTTAGCTACATTTTAAGTAGTTGACACTGGGTTTCCAATATCTCTTTGGTTATGTTCTTACAGCATGCTAAATCATAAACTGTGGTTCAAAGACATTATGTCTTAGCATGTTATATGAACAAGGCCACCAAGTTAAACTGTATGTGGTTTCTTTCTTTGCTATGATATGTTAACATGGCCATTATGATTTGCTAAGCATGGTTTATAGATTAGAATGTTATGCTAGCGTAGCCTTTATCAGATAAGATGTATAGAAGGCAGAAAACAAAATATAGAAGGAGTAGAGTTGTTTTTAGTCATTCCAGTCTTAAATAATTTTTCCTTTTTTCATAGTACAAGTTCTGCAATGGAAACAATCTTGCTTATTTCATTGACATGGTCAGGGACTGAAATATGTGTAGGTCCTATTAACTATTTTAGGCTGCTATGGGCACACCACCTCCTCTCCAGTTGCTGGGTACTGATGGCCATTTTGCGGGGGGGGGGGGGGTGCAGAAGAG